CCAATTCCTTCCTGATTTCTCTGTACAAACTTTTCTAATAACAATCCTGGATCCATTCATTCACTGTCGGGTCTCAAACTGGGTTTAGAAGGCCATTAAATTTCCATAAAACTTCCTTAAACCCCTGAATAAGGTTTAACTTCCCCTAAGTAATGAGAATTTTCGAGTTTTCGTCCGAAGATGTTAATAGAAAATATATTTTCGACCTTATTGTTTTGTGGTAAAATCGAAAATCTGCTGTTAAACCGAGTTTGCAATTATATGTTGTTTGTCGACGGATTGTCGTTGTTTATTAATAACATTTAAGTGTGAGAGAGCCATGCTTCGGCATGAATGGGCCGGCTCGACCGGAGTTATACCACGGCCTCACACTAGACCGACGTGAAACAACAATGTGTTGTGTTTCGTCGTATGAGTGAGGTTACCGGATGCCCAATTACTCCATCCCTTTCCCCAATCCCTGAATCCCCAACAATCCTCAAATTCCTAATTCCAAAAGGCCGGTAACGCACTTGCGTCTCTGGTGTTCCAGGTGTCCATGGGCGACGCCGATTGCTTACCATCAGGTGATCTGTCTGCTCGTTTACCGGCTTATACCATAAAAAAAATACATAAAATTGGAGAAAAAGGTTGAAGAATGAAAGTACATTAAAAAGGAATCTCTGCTGATGTCTTTGGAATATAGCTTGTATCATGTAACTTTTGGGCTCGCTGCCATTGCAGCGGTAAGTCCCCTCTTTGAGGAGTGGCTTGAGAGACGCTACGGCGTCCTCACCTACCGCCTGACGCAGGTCCTCACCGGACATGGAAGTTTCGGGAGGTACCTGTGTCTGATGGGGCGGGAGGAAACGCCCGGGTGTCATCACTGCGAGGACCACCCTGAGGACACGGTGGAACACACTGTTGCGGAATGCCCTGCGTGGGCTGAGCACCGCCGTGCCCTCAGGGAAGTGATCGGCGATGGAGACCTCTTGCGTCCGAGCCTAGTGCAGGCCATGATGCGGAGCGAGGGGGACTGGGATGCCGTCTCCTCCTTTTGCGAAGCAGTCATGCTGGCTAAGGAGGAGGCGGGACGCGTGAGGCAGCGAAGCGCTGCCTCCTCGCAACCCAGCCATCGCGAAGGACACACCGGGCGTCGGGGATCGCGGGACGATCTCCGGCCACCGTAAGCGCGGGCCTGCGGACGGCGAGCATGGGTGGCTCCCCGTCCGACCAGAAACAGACCCGAGCGTACGGCGCGTCACGTTCCACGCGCGCCTCAAAGAGCCATCAGACCACCACAGATGGGGCCCAATAGGGCCGATGCCGATTCGGAGTCGCGGAGAACCTAACGGGTAACCGGGGCTCCGGCTCGACGTGCAGGAGAAGGAACGGGGTGGTTTTTAGTCAGTAAGAGTCTGACACTCCCTTCCGCCTCACCCAGGCGGGAGCAGTCATTCGATGATTTCCCCCCTTAAAAAAAAAAAAAAAAATCATGTAACTTTTATTTTATTAAGATTGCGTTCCCGTGGGATAAAACCTATGTATGTGTTATTTCAGACAGCAATCAGCAATCCTTGTTACAAATATCATCTCGATCCCTTCAGCTGTTATGAGGTGATGGACTAAGAAACAAACTAACGTTTACATTATTTTATATTATTACTATCCTCCATAGTATGATAACAGGATTTAGTAAACTACAAAAATAATTACTTAGAAAAAATAATTTAATAAATTACAAAATAAAAACTTGTTTAATCATCAGAAAAATATGTTTATCATAAAAAAGTTAATAATAAACTTTAAATAGTTTTAATCATTTGATCGATTTATTTTCCGTTCCGTATAAATAACTTGGTCACACTATTTTTTATTTTTTAACGCGTAAAAATGTAATCACATCTACCCCCGGCTATTTTATTTTAAATACCAGATATATAAAGCGCGGCATTCACTGCGTGACAATCTCAGTTTGCCAATTAATCTAAAATGGCCTTTGTTTGTCGTGTGAAAACTATTTCATTCGTGCCATGAATGGGACTTGTTACAATGTAAATTAATTGCGTGTATTGCGAGTTTTTGCAATATTTTACTTTTGTTTACGTGTTCACTAGTTAATGAGATTGACAACAACATAACATAACATCACGCCTTTTACCCCCGAAGGGGTAGGCAGAGGTGCACATGCACATAATGCCACTGTACAATGTAACACCCACTTTTCAGTATTTATGTTATGAGTCCCATGTAATCTACTGAGATTTTTTTTAAAAACCCCGAAGTACTTTTCCCGACCCGGGAATCGAACCCGAGATCCCTTGCCCGGCGGTCGCACTTGCGAACACCACTGATAAACGGTGAAGGAAAACATCGTGAGGATAACCTGGGCTTATAATTTCTAATTATAAGTTTGATATCGCCAACCTGAAGCGTGGTGATTAATGCTCAAACCTTCTCCGTGTGAGAAGAGGTTTTGCTCAGCAGTGGGCATATAGGCTGTTGATGATAGTCGCGGAGAACCTAACGGGTTACTTTGGCTCCGGCTCGATGTGCAGGAGAAGGAACGGGGTGGTTTTTAGTCAGTAAGAATCTCACACTCCCTCCCGCCTCACCCGGGCGGGAGCAATCATTCAATGATTTTCCCCCCTTTAAAAAAAGGCTGTTGATGATGATGATAAAACATGAATTCCAAATTAACATGACATTGTATTTTAAAATTGTACTTCAAAATTCTAAGCACGTAAAACTTAATATTATTCACACCGCAAACAAAATCTCATTGAAATTCGTTGTTCTCGAAACTCATTGATTGATAACTCACGTTAAAAATAAAACAAAAATCCATTGTTTTTGTCGTACACACAACAGGCGACAAAAACGCAGAGTCCATGGGCCGCTTTAATTTCTCTTTGTATAGTACCCACGCATAATAAAGAATATCGTTTTGTACTTTAATGTCGTGGAATAATTTAGTATTTGAGTTTATTTAGTCGTGATGAGGTCGTGGGATTTAAAAGAAAGAGAGACTGTTTTTATTGGGAGAATGAACAAGCTTAATGTGAGTATTTTTGTAATTAGTGTCTAGACTTGCTATTAATTAATAATAATCTTTTATAAGTCTTTATGAATTTCAGATCCGCTGCATGGTTTTTATGCCATTTTTGTCCCAGTTTAACCTACTGGTTGCATGAATTCAAGGGCTTTTTATTCTATTTTCTTCTGTTTTGAGCAAATTCTTACTAGATCTCTGCATTATATCATTGACATTGTTAACCTATCCTACCATTAGCATTGATCTGCATAATTTTAATATTTACTGTACTATAGACATCGTAAATAAGAAGATGATAAATCTGGCTCACCTTTGTTTTAGTAAATATTTTGTTCTGAATTTTCATTTTTTCTGATAGTGAGTTTTACTATTTTATGCTGATATGATTTTTCAGAATATTTCAAAGGTCTAATACACGGTAGTTGATAGGCAGTCAAATTCAATACTTTTATTGAAGTGTCAACAACGATACTTTTATATGAATTTTGTATTGGATCGCAACAGACGTCATCATATTTCTGCGTCAAATAGTATAGTTATTTCCTTAAAATTAGCGTGAAAAAATCCAAAAGTAGGTAAATTGTCAAATCAATGGATGAGAGTATGATTATTTTTTAATTATTTATTGCATTGAAAAGTTGAAACAATTTATTTTAAACCTAGGAAACTAGCAAATTAAGGTCTAATTACCTACTTATTTTTTTTATATGGTCGATTCTTTTAATATTGTTTTAGTCTTTTAAGCTTGGCAAAAGAGGGTTTACAATAATCGAAGTCGCTATAGCTAGTATTGTACCGGTGGCAACCTAGAACACTTTGACTCTGCCGGTTTTTATATTTGCTATTTTTTTTCGTGTTTAAAAAGAGGAGGTACTATGTTCAGATCATTGTTTATTCATGGGATATGGTCCGAAGTGAGTAATACAGTCCAACTGTCCAAGTCAATATTAGTGTAAAACGCGGAAAACCTAACGGGTTACCGGGGCTCCGGCTTGACGTGCAGGAGAAGGAACGGGGTGGTTTTCAGTCAGTAACGTCCAGTTTCTATAACCTATCTATCTGTAGATTTGCTTACTAGAGATAGAATTTTGACACATTTTGTATGGAGCTCATGTCAAAATTCTATCTCTAGTAAGCAAATCTACAGATAGATAGGTTATAGAAACTGGACGTAAGAGTCTGACACTAAAGGCGGGAGCAGTTATTCGATGATTTCCCCCCTTAAAAAAAAAGTCAATATTAATTCCAGCTGTCACCGCGTCGAACTCTTTTTTGCCAATGCCTATTCATTTCAGTCGTTGGTATTTATAGTTTTTATTACAATACTTTTTAATACAGTTAATAAGATTTTATACTATTAGTTATGGCTGAGCGTACAATATTGGCATTACTAACATTCTTACCTTAGTTTCCGTCTGGGGACCCAACGGAGCGTGATATTATTTTAAGCACTCAAGTATTTACTGAAGAGCAGTCTCATTATTATCTCATCAAGCTATACATAACCAGTGTAAATTGACCTTCGAGTGTGCGAAACGATTGTACAAAACGGGACCACGATAAAGTGGTTTTGTATAGTTTCATGTGAAGCTGTGAGTACATAAAATTTTACTAGCAGCCTCCCAGTAAAATATACCCCTGCCTAGCAACAGGGAGATTATAGGCATGATATTTATACCCCTCTATTTACGGTAAGCACCGTTATTATACCGTTGACGTAACGTTGCGTTGTATAAAACTGTTTACGTTGTTCTTGTAACGGCTTTTTGCGTTATGACGTGCCAAAGTACTCTTGCGTGGGCTGTTATGGCATGGCTATTATACCTCGTTTGTGTACTTTATATTATGTAGAAATAGGGAGGTATTTTTTTCTGAAAAATCTTCATCCACACAATATCCTCTTACCTTTAAAAATTGTCTTTAAAGTTCGTATATTTAGTTACTAATCAATTTGCTTTGTCCTCAGGAAACGTACACGGATGTCCCGGTGGCGCCCTCTTCAGACGTGGAGCACTGTCACTGGCCGCCGCCTGCGCAGCCGCCCAGCGCAATACCGCAGCTTCTTATAGCACTAGTGTTATGCGCAATTTTTATGGTACGTACTTTTTCAGCAGCTTTTTTGTGGAATTGAGGATCTAACCAACAGATGGATGCCGCGGACGACTTACTTACTTAATTTTGACATGAGCTCCATACAAAATGTGTCAAAATTCTACCTCTAGTAAGCAAATCTACAGATAGATAGGTTATAGAAACTGGACGTTAACGGGTTGCCGGGACCCCAGGTCGAAAGACATGAGTAGGAACGGGGTGGTTTTTAGTCAGTAAGAGTCTGACACTCCCTCTCGCCTCACCCAACGCGGGAAAATTATTGGATGATTTCCCCCCAATAATTTTCGCGCGTAAAATAAGAACAGATGGATCGCCCGATGATAAGCAATCTTCGCTGCCCATGGACAACCGCAACGTTCATAAGTGCGTTCTCGTTCAGCAAAACACATTTTACTTTTTTTCATTTCATTTTGCTTTTCAGTAGTGTTTTGGCTACACGGTGATAGAATTCCAACTTTATAATCCATGTGGTTTATAAAGCTTTTCGATTATATTACCGAAATTCCAAATAATACTTTGTCTCACCATTTCACCGTCACGACAGTATAGCTTACGGCAATGTTTGACGAGCAATCCGAGGCTTTAAACCACCCCGCTCATCTCCTCAACAGAACCACACCCTAACCGATTTGTCCACCCCTTATCATGACTCGACAAACTATAAGTCCATAGCATTATATGGCCTATCAAAATAACAACGCGGTCGATTGACCTATCGGATGAATCGGATCACTGACAATACCCAATTGCCCGATGTTTAGAATTTGGGATCGCCGTAAATGATCCTAATAGAGACAACCTACGAAGTATTTACACGATCCGTTGACCTATCGGATCGGAATTCCCAAGAGTTTAGTATTTGGGGACGCTGTAGATTATCTCACAAGTGAAAATGTTTTACGCGTATTCCTGTCATCATGCGCGGTAGTTATCTATGATACTCCATATTAAAAAGGCTTTGATAAACTCAGTTGAGTGTTATGAGGTACTTTCGATAAAGCAAGGGTGTTATAGTATTTATAATTATGATCTTTTTTATAGTAGTTTTTGGCTAAAGTGACTTGAATGATAAATAAAGATATGGTGCCACAATATTGCTTTGAATTAATTCAACTATCAAAACGTTTGTACTCAATTAACTAAAATCGCGGGTTACTCACGTGAATATACTGTGAAAACCTCTACTAGTTTCAAACCACAGAGGGGTTCTTCCTCATGAACAGCGTGCGCGGTCGCGGCGACGTCGCGCAGACTGTCTTTGACTGACTCAAGCTCACGTTTGTACTCATACTTGTTGCGGTAATCCTTATTAATTTGGAATCAGGGCAAAAACGGATACAGCCCCTTGATGTCTTGTCATGACATGAGTCATGGTCATGTCTTGTAGAAGGTATGAAGATGATGATGATGACGAACAGGCGAAGAATATATTTACTGAGTACTAAAACATAATATTATGAATAAACATATACAACTTAAAATTAACTAAAACTAAAACAGCGAATAAAAAAAGAAAGATAATAAAAAAAAAACGAAATACCGTCAGTCAGGCGTCAAAGAATTCGTCCGCATCACTGTCACTGGGGAACGTGCCCAAAAGACTGGCAGCATTGCCACGTTGAATGGCAGTGCTTATGTTCTGTCCGAAGAAATAGCCAGCCCTCTGGTCACGGGTAGAATCGATTAACCTACGGGCAATAGAATAATATTAGGTTTTAGATTATCTTGTATTATAACTTATAACATTCAATATTAGGCAAAGTTCACTGTGGGCAGTGAAAATTTCTTCTCCTGTAATAATATCTTCTGAGTTATTTCGTTATGGGATCCAAAACAGACATTCATGTCTCTAGGACGCGCCGGACTTCAATATTCCGGTGTTTTCATGGTTGTATCTACTGTAGATCCTGGCTAACATGAGTTGCAGCGGTTTTGAGAGGTAAAAACATGTATACGGTCGAATTGAGAACCTCCTCCCCTTTTTTTGAAGTCGAGTAAAATATAAGACAAAATTTGCATAAACAGCAATATTGCAGCTAAAATAATATCACAGATCGCACAATCACGGGATGTAGGTACAATAAAAATAAAATGCAATCCCATGTGACCTATTTGCAACTTACCAATAAATTCAAAGTTGTTGACACGAGTATGGCTAAGGCTAACCTACATAGTTTGACCTATAAACTATCTATACAATAGCTTACCCACTTCCTAGAATGTTCTATGAAATTTTATTTGCTTTGCTTAACATGATTGCGCCAATTTGTTTAGAAGTAGAAACATATTAAGTATAAGCTTTTGATATTGTTGGTATCTAGGTACTTACATGAAATTAGGCCGCAACTCGTAATCTGCTAAGTCAGGGGTAGCTCAGGGCACGCATATTAGGTCCAATTTTTATTATAGTAGGTATATCGAAAGCCAATCTAGTACTATATTGCCGGACCCTACAATTGAGATGGCTTGAGACTTGCCAACCTGTAGATCATCATCATCATATCAACCACAAGAAGTCCTCTTCTGAACAAGCACCAATGACTTCCAGATCAGCTGATCTAAAACAAAAATAATTAGAATTTATTCCATCCATCTATCTATCCGGCTTCCAACCGGCTGGTTATTCTAATTATTTTTCTAGCTGGAAAATAACCTATTAATATTATTACGTCATACATACATACGTATGGTCACGCCTGTCTCCCATTGGGGTAGACAGAGACGATGACATGAAATGACAAAATTATGGCATACCTCTCGTCGATGAAGAGTGGTTTTATATATACATAACATAACATTGCGCATTTTATTCCCGAAAGGGTAGGCAGAGGCGCACATTACGACACTTAGTGCCACTGTACAATGTAACACCCACTTTCACGATTTATATTATGAGTCCCATATAAAAGGGGATGAGGCATTTGAGAGGTTTAATATGTTATGTTAATTTTATTTCTTATTTCTTTCTTATTTTCCACAGGTATGCGAGTTAATCGGCGGGTATCTAGCAGGCAGTCTCTCGGTGATGAGCGATGCTGCTCACATGCTGAGCGACTGTGGTGGGTTCGCGCTAGCGCTGCTCGCCTTCCACTGCGCTAAACGGAGACCTGATGTCCACATGTCGTATGGGTACAAACGTGCTGGTAAGATTGACACAATATTTTTTTTTATTACATGACATAACATGACGTCACTCCTTTTATCCCCGAAAGGGTAGGCAGAGGTGCACATTATGCCACTGTACAATGTAACACCCACTTTTCACTATTTATGTTATGTGTCCCATGTAATAGGGGGTGAGCCTATTGCCATATACCGGGCATAATTCCAGACTCCGTGCTATTACTGAGATTTTTTTAAAAACCCGATATAAAAGTATTATTCGATTCCTGGGTCGGGCATTTGCCGACTCGAGGCCCCTTGCCCGGCAGTCGCCCTTGCGACCACTCGGCCAACGAGGCAGTCTTTTTTTATTAATTATGTTTAAATGCTTACTCATATTTAGGTCATACATTACGTTAGGTACTGTTGACGACACACGACTGGTTTCAAGCCCCGCTGGGTACTCATATTCATAAGCAACATTGACAAACGAAGCGGAAAACGATGCGCAGTTAACTATTTTCAATTTGAATTTTGTTTGTTTGTTTATTCTTGTGATATATTTTGCGACTATTGCATATTATAATGAAGGGTTCAGTATTGCAGTCAATGGCATTTTTTAACATAATATAAAATTTTGACCGCCAGAGCGCAAAGTTAACAACTTAACAAGCGCAAATACCCACAAAAATAGTGATTCCAACATCTTATCGATAACCAATTATTAATTGCTTTTCGACCCATATTATTTTAATTAAATATTTCTCAATCCTTCTTTTATTTATTTTGACCCTATTTCGAATTATGAATGGATGTATGACTGGCAGAGAATGCTGTTAGCATTAAGTCCTCCTTCCGCAATTTATTGTGTAAAACTTAAATAAATAAATAAAATAAAAATTATACTATCATGAAACAGTAGTTGCAAACTTTCAAACAACGTAAAACTAGACTTTAGAAATACAAATGGATAAATCAAACAATAAAAAGGTGCATCACTGATGTCGTTTTCTGGACGTCTGTAGCCGTCCGTGGCGGTCAATAGGTTAAAAAGGAGATTACATTGTTTCGCGTAGTAGCCTTTGAAAGATTTAGTCGCGAATCTCTCGTAAGACACTTGTCAAGATTTTTCTCATAAAACGCATGCACCATTGATTTGTTCATCTTGCTCCACTGGAATTCGAATGCGACTGCACTGTTGGCGCAGTGGCTGGGTCACTGGCTTCCGTAAAACGTGTCGCGGGTTCGATTCCCGCACGGAGCAACTCCTTGTGTGATCAACAAATTGTTGTTTCGGGTCTGGGTGTCATGTGTATGTAAACTTGTATGTTTGTAAACGCACCCACGACACAGGAGAAAATCCTAGTGTAGGCAACGTTTTAAAAAAAAAATCTCTTTCTTCCAGAGGTTCTAGGCGCGATGCTATCAGTGCTTCTAATCTGGATTCTGACGGGTATCTTCGTGTACGTGGCGGTGGTGCGGCTCCATACAGGGGAGTATAATATTGAGCCGGACATGATGATGATCGTGTCTGGTTGTGGGGTGGGCTTCAACGTCATACTGGCGCTCGTCTTACATGGTTGCGCCTCTGATATCGGTGAGTGCGATTATGTTACTTCGTTCTCTTTTGAAGATTACACTGCAACAGTCTTACATCAAAGATTTTTGAACTGTGAAGTATGTGGCAAGTTAGATGATGTTTATCATATGCTGCTGGAGTGTGTTAAATTTAAGGTGGCGAGGGACTCACTGATGCTACATTTTAATATAAAAACTATGATTTGGGATCTTTTTCTAGTATTTTGTCAGAACCTTTAAGCAATGCAGCACGATCTATTGTAAGGATGTTGCAACAGTGATGACCCGTTGGTATTTGACTTCTTATTAATTTTTAGTTCATTTAAAATGTTTTAAATAGATACGTTTGGGATACGATGGGGCTGACGTAGCCTATTGGTTAAAAGCCCATAAAATGAAATAGATAATAAAAAAAAAGAATTTTGGCGTCCACAAATTCAATCCAGTAGGCTGTATATATATTTCGTTTTATCCTCCTCTAATAATATATTCTGATTTATTTTGTTCCGGGATTCAAGAGAGTTGTTCATGTCTTTGGGACGCTCCGCACATCAGTGTTCCGGTTTTCATGGTTGAATCTACTGTAGATCCTAGCTTATAGGAGTTATAACGGTTTAGGAAGGTTGTGGCGGGCTTGTATTAATTAAAATAAAACTGTTAACTATTTTTACTTATTGTATACACACATTTAATTAATCATAATGTATTAATTTGAAAAAATAAACTAGTTTCAAACTCAATTTTCCCTTCCCTCCAGCCCACCACCACACTCACGGCGGCGCAGCGTGCTCCCATGCGCATGCGCACTCCCACAACAACAACAGTACAGGCGCTAGCTCGCGCGGCTGGAGACTATTCCGGCGAGCTCGCGACCACAAGCACGCCAACGGCGCGCTCGCCAACGGAGACTACAACATGAAAGACCTCGCCACTGTAGAAGCTAGTGTTGTGGGATCCCAGCCTAGGTAAGTACCATTATAATACTTTAACAAACATACAACAGTACCGTAAAATGGCTCGTACACAATCACCTGATATAATTCACCAAGATTTGTTCGTACCAAAATAGTCTCTAAACATCAGAAATAAGGTCTATAATGGAGTTAGTGGGATGCTTGAGGATTGATTTATCTCTTCTTCAATTTCTTTGTGAATTTTAGTCATATCTTATTGTTCCCCTAGACTTCCAGAGAATGCTAAACATTTTCCTACGGCTACTAGTTTTTTCATACGGCTACTAGTTTCGGTTTGAATTAAAGAATTATCTTCGATTGGTCACACCGTTCTTGACTTGTGTTTTAATTAGTAAATGTGGGAGAGCCATACTTCGACACGAATGGGCCGGCTCGACCGGAGCGATACCACGGCCTCACTATAGACGTGAAACAACGTTAACGTTGTGTTTCGTCGTGTGACTGAGGTTACCGGAGGCCCAATTATCCCCCCCTCTTTCCCTAATCTCCCCAACAATCCTCAAATTCCTAATCCCCAATAGGCTAGTAACGCACTTGTAATGCCTCTGGTATTCCGGGTATCCATGAGCGACGCTGATTGCTTACCATCAAGTGCCTCGTCTGTTCGTTTACCGGCTTATCCCGTAACAAGTAAAATATTGAGCGATTAATTTTGTTCATTGAATACATTTGCATATTATGCAAAATCAATTCTGAAAGCACTCTAATACCTGTCGTATCTAATGCTTAGATGTTTAAGAATTAGCAAGAGCAACCAATTGATGCTAGATAAATAGTGTAATGAATGGTTTCAGGAATATAAATCTCCGCGCGGCGCTCATCCACGTGATAGGAGACCTCATACAGAGCTGCGGAGTCTTGCTCGCATCTATACTTATTAAGTTCTATGTGAGTATTATTAATGCTCGATTTTACTGTCAGAAGGGGTTATTAAACAGCACAGAATCTGGAATCGTGTGCAGAGGGCCAAGCACAAATAACTATTGCATTCGTATCGTAACAGTATCGAGCGAGTTAAGCGCTCTGATTGGTTGGTTCACTCGAGCCGGCCAATCAGAGGGCCAAGCACGAATAACTATCGCATTCGTGTCGTAACAGTATCGAGCGAGTTAAGCGTTCTGATTGGTTGGTTCACTTGAGCCGGCCAATCAGAGCGCCGAACGCGCTCGATACTATTACGTTACGAATGCGATAGTTATTCGTGCTTGGCACTCAGTACACTGACTGGACTGTAGTTTTACTATCCTATTATTAAAGTTGTTTTATTGTAATTTTGATTTAGTTTATTGTAATTTTCATTTTATTTTACTGTAATTTTTATATCACTTTTTTGTCATTTATAAATTTGTGATTGTTGTGTGACTTTATGGGTTCCTATGCCTGAAATAAATGAATTATTATTATTAAAACAATCGTTCCCGTCATCTTTTAGATCACATACCTCATTTTAGATTAAAGAAAAATGTACAATATGTTTGTATTTCAGCCTGAAGCGAAGGTGGTGGATCCGATTTGTACATTCGTGTTCAGCTTCCTAGTGCTACTGACGTCGGCGCAGGTCGTACGGGATGCACTCGCCATGCTCATGCAGGCTGTGCCCAAGAACTTCAGGTAAATACCAACTAATATTATTATCTAAGCGTGGGAGAATCATGATAAAACACGGCTCGAGTGATAGATATCACGGCCTCACAAGAAACCGGCGTGAAACAACGCTTCCGTTACTTCACGTCGCGTAAGTGAAGTTACCCGAGGACCCCCATTCCTCCTCCCTCAATTTCCCCTGTTTTCAAATCCCCAATCGAATCTCTAACCCTCAGAAATCCGACAACGCACTCTTAACTTCTCTGGTGAGGCGGGTGTTCAAAAGCGGCGCTGGTTACTCATCATCAAGTGATTTGTTTACACTTCCATATCATAAAACACATCAAGTGTGGGAAATAAATGCTTCGGCACGAATGGGCCGGCTCGACCGGAGTGATACCACGGCCTCACAGAAAAACGACGTGAAACAACGCTTGCTTTGTGTTTCGTCGTGTGAGTGAGGTTATCGGAGGCCTAATCTAATTACCTCCCCCTCTTCAATCTTCCCAATTTCCGAATTCCACACAATCCTCAAATTGCCAATTCCCAAAAGGCTGCTAACGTACTTGGTGTTCCAAGTGTCCAAGGGCGAGGTCGATTGCTTACAATCAGGCGATCAGTTCAAAGTCAAAGTCAAAATCATTTATTTCAATTAGACCAGGATGGCACTTTTGAACGTCAAACAACAAAAATTTATAAGTAAAGCTAGTTGCTCATTCCAAGGCGTAGATTCCTATGGAGAAGAACGAGCAAGAAACTCCATAGGTTACTCTTTTTCAATCAGGTTTACAATACAATTCTCTAGTTACATAGTTTTATTGGTTCGATTATGTGAGAACAATGCAACACCTAAATCCAGTCAGAAAGACTGACAAAGAAAATAACCTTGAGGATAATAAAATAAAATGATACAGTCTGGAGCTGACCACTTCCAATCGACGGCGTCCGTTCACGAACATTTGGCGTACCCCAGCACCGCCCAACTCAACCATTTTGTAGGGAATCGAGCGATCCAATGCACGTGCCACCGCCACCGAGATCTTTGAGTGAGCATGACAAATCCAAGCTGACATAAATGCATTCTACTAGTTTAATTTGATTTAATTAATTACAGGGCTCTCACATTTACAATAAATTGTGCAACGTTTTAAACTATACAAATATTTAAGCAACATGATTATATTATTACACAAATAGAATTCATTGAACATCACTATGTTTTATGTATTATCCCGCGGAACCGGACCAGCCTGCCTCCAAGCACTTTTATCTTCTATATAATCACTTAGTTTGTAGTATGCTTGTCTACATAACGTTTTTTTAATACATAGTTTAAATTTTCTTTCATTAGATGCAGTATTTCTTGGGGGATTTTGTTATAACATTTAACACCGAACCCCATGAACGACTTATGCACTTTTGACAATCTAAAAAATGGCGGACTTAATCTATTCTTATGTCTAGTTTGATAATTGTGTCTGTCAGACACTTTACTAAATAAATGTAGGTTTTTCCTAACATACATAATATTTTCATAAATAAATTGACTTGGAACGGTCATAATATTGATCTCCCTAAACCTTTCTCTGAGAGATTCGCGACGACCTAAGTTGTATATAGCTCTGACGGCGCGCTTCTGCAAGATAAAGATAGACTCAATGTCAGCAGCGTGTCCCCACAGTAGAATGCTATACGACATGATGCTATGGAAGTAACTGAAGTACACAAGTCTTGCCGTGTCTATATCGGTTAACTGACGGATTTTCCAGACAGCATAAGCTGCAGAGCTTAATCGTCCCGTTAGAGATGTAATATGAGGACCCCATTGTAATTTGTCGTCTACAGTAATTCCCAGGAAAATAGTCTCTTTTACAAATTCCAATTTCTCACTATTCAGTAATATGTCACATTCGTTATTTTTAACGTTTGGCAAAACAAATCTAATGCATTTTGTATTTTTATCATTCAGCACTAAATTATTTATTGTGAACCAGTTTTGAACCTTCATCAGAGCACTATTTACATCGTCATAATTATTTGTACGTCTATTTATTTTAAAAACCAGTGATGTGTCGTCAGCAAATAATACCATCTGTGGTTCATTCCGGAATAAATGCGGCAAGTCATTTATATAAGCCAAAAATAGGAAAGGACCTAGTATTGATCCCTGCGGTACACCCATAGATATGCTAGCATCCTGTGAGTTTACCTTATTTACTTGCACCTTAAGTTGCCTATCGCGAAGGTATGACTTTAATAGATTTAGCGATACCCCTCTAATGCCGTAGTGTTCCAGCTTCAGCAAAAGCGTTTCGTGCTCAACACAGTCAAATGCCTTCGAAAGATCACAGAATATTCCAATTGCATCCTGTGCTTCTTCCCATGAGGCAACAACACGTTTTATTAAAGCTACTCCTGCGTCAGTAGTGCAGCGTCCCTTGGTGAACCCGTATTGTTGATCATGAAAGATAGAATTCGTGTTAAAGTGGCGCAGCATCTGAACGTTAGCTCGTTTACCGGCCTATCCCATAATAAACTTAGAAAATGATACACAGACGTAAACTAAAAGGCAACTCCGCCCTGTCGTCAGGTACCGCGAGTGCGTGTCTGCGCTGTCGTCTGTGGGCGGCGTGCGCCACGTGCACTCGCTCCACGTGTGGGCGCTGTCCACGCACTACGTCGTGCTCTCCGCGCATATCGCCATAGGTACGTATTGTTACATCATATACAATTGACGACATTTCATATTTTTAATCAGCATTTATTATTACGTTATACAAAACTAAATTAGAAAATAAGGGCACCCATATTTTTTCATTTTTCGAAATGATGTACTTTTCATTCATAATTTTAATTTTGAAATCCGATGTATTCTAAAAAGACACAACATGTATATTTCATGATCCGTTTGTACCTGTTGCTGCCATGTTGTATTTGGAAGTCGATGAGTCTTTCACTTCATCAGTCCATCGTAATAGTGTAGGAAGTGGTGGTTGATTCAATGAATTGACGTTTTAGAAGTTTTGTAAGTTTTATATTAACGAAACATTCATAGAGATATGTATTGCGAGAACATAAATTGTAGAGCACCATATTTATATATGCGCAGGGAGGCTTTCTCCCGCGTTGCCTACGGGTCGTGCTCGTGTTTTTTCCTGTCCTGACGGCTTAGTATGAGTTTGTCTTACGATTCAAGTTGTTGTCTTGTTGCCTGCGGCATTAAATCCACCCATGTGCTTGTTTGTGTGCATAAAGCTTTTTAAATAAAAAAATAAAGTTATCGAAACTAGTAAGCGGTCAGTGGTATGATTGGTCGGCGTCTCGTTTCGATTACTTTAAACGTAATACAACGTTATCCGCGTAACAATTGTTGCAAGGACTAGACATACTAAAGTCCCCCCCTCCCCCAGACGAGCTGTCGGACAGCGAGGCGGTGCTCCGCGCGTGTCAGCGCGTGGCGCGCGCGGAGTACGGCGTGTCTGCGTGCACGCTGCAGGTGGAGCGGTACGAGCCGCGCATGCGCAGCTGTCCCGACTGTACCGCGCAGCCCGCGCACACGCCCTGACATCTCTCCACGCTCGCCTAGCCAGGTACATACCACTCTTATATTGTGCTTCTTATTCAATTCTAGGTTACAAAAGCGGGATATGTTCCTTTTTTCGCGTATACGAACTTACTTTATCATAGTAATAATAAAACATGAGTATCAATGTGCATAATGTTTTCAAGACAATCTTCAGCAGGTTCGACGACAACCATGAATGAATCAACGACAAATCTGTGTTTATAGCCCGCACCTAAAATGCATGACTGTATAGAATTATAGATATTAACGTCTTTAATCAAAACTAAGCGAAAATTCGCTTCTTCGAAATTGGAACTAAAAGAATTGAATTGTAATATTATTATTTTCTTAAACATTACAGGCAACGAGAACATAATAACGGAAGCCTCAGAAAATTAACGATTGACGCTAAATGTTTGATCAATCTAAGGGGCCAGCTATCAATCAGTCAGGCGATTGGTTGATTTGAACTGTATTGATATTATAAACTAAGTGATTTAAATGATTGAACAGTGCTGTGTTATCATCAACAAGTTGATTGATAGATGTTGCAAGTTTTGTATTTTTCCAAACGTTAAAGGACCAAGTGTTAGTGACATCAATCGACAATATGATTGAAAGATTGATTGATTGATAAATTGTTGAATTAGTTTATTAGGAAGACTTTGAAAATGTATTGTAATTTGTATTGTCAGTGATCTCAACAAGATAATTTTCAAAATAATTTAAAAGGATTTTTCTATCGCGTTTCAGCAAAGTGTTCAAATAATATGGTAAGGCTGGCAACACTAAGCATGTATTTCAGTGTTAACCTACCTGCTAAGTGTGTTCGCCTATGAATTTGTAAAAAAACCTTTTTGAAATTTCGAAAAAACGCATAATAAATGATAATTGTTATTTTTTGTATTAAAAGTTGAATAATAAAAAGTAGACTTTGTATAATTAAAAGTATTAGTAAAAGCGTGCCAAAAAATTAAAAAAGAAAACAAGTTATTTAATCGTTGAACGGATTGTATTAAATTGAAAAGATATTGCATTCTATTTATTTATTATAGCTAAATTATTATTTTTTAACTTTAAACTTGTAATTTATAAGTTATTAAGCGAAATAATCAAAATCAATTCATTGTATAATAATGTGCATAATATAAAAAAAAAAACATGTTGTACATAAACTATGATTTGATTTATAAAAAGCTATAGTGAAGCTATTAGGGGAGCTGTTAAAAGTTGCGTAAACTATTCCAGACTAGCTTTTGTCTGCGACTTTGCTTGCGTGCCCTAAAGGAATAAAGTAGTTCATAAGACTGTTCCGCTTCTCAACTACATCCAAATATAAAAATCATACCATCAGAGCTGTATTGTCTTGAAGGTAATCTGGGCCAGTGTCTATGGCGCTGGGTTACAAAGGGGCGAGACGCAAGTGCCCAACTAATCATAGACCACAGGTCTCTCGATGTGGCGCAAAAAAAAGAAATTTTTGAGCTCTGTAGCGATGCGAAAGAAGGCTAAACAAATATTGTTTCACACTTATAGCGTTTGGTTAATTCTTCAGTTTTTATATCCCCTATGCATCTGTGTGTTTGCTTCAAGATACTATCATTCCATTTAGTAAAAAAATGAGAATATTAAAACTATCTTCTACCAGCGGTTTTGCTCGCGTCAGTGCGACATAAAACCAAGGACAATAAGTACAAATGTCCTGCGAAGTTGAGTAAAGGAGAGCGACGTTGCCGGACTTTGGTCGACATGTCTGGCAACATCTGTCGGGAGGCTACGCTCATCGACATATACTAATGGACATGCCTTAGAGATGAGAATTGTGGCACACCGAAAGAAAGAGAGGAAACGAAGTTTCGGTCTATCTTTATCTCTCTCAAGATAGTACCGTAGTGAAGACGTTATGAGCGAGAAAGAGATAGCACTAGACCGAAAGCATAGGCCATCTCTCTCACTCTTTGCAAACCAAAATATTACTGCAGTTTATACGCGTACGGCATGTCCGACATGCATTAGAATATGTCGATGGCTACGCTTAAAGTATCGTATGTGTAATTCTTATTCCAAATTATAATCTGTTTCTTAATAAAAGGTATAGTATACGCAACTTTTGACAGTAGATTAATTTTACAATTGATTCCAAATATACTGTAATCTTAGTACTAACTTATTTATTTGTAAATTATTAAGTTATGTTGCATAATAATACCAAGTTACAATTGACTTTTTAAGTAATATGAACGAAATGTGCAATTTGTGTTGTTACTGTTATTGTATTTTATATTTAATATAAATCTTTATAGGGTCGATTTTTCCAACGCTAGTTTCATTTTGTCAGCGGAATAACTTTGAATATTTGACAATTCTTCCGTACTAAAAACTGTCTAATGTCAATTTTATTCTACAGTAAAGAATTAACTGATTTTTTCATAACTGAACTGAGTACCAAGCACGAATAACTATCGCATTCGTAACGTAATAGTATCGAGCGCGTTCGGCGCTCTGATTGGCCGGCTCAAGTGAACCAACCAATCAGAAAGCTTACATCGCTCGATACTGTTACGATACGAATGCGATAGTTATTCGTGCGTGGCCCTCTGTGCTAATTTTTAAAATTTTTCGAAATATGATATGTCAAAATGAACTCGATAACGGCTGGACCGATTTACATGAACGTCAAATTATTTGTTTCTTTTTCTGTCCGGTATGAAAATATTTTTTAATTATTATTATTTCTGTGATAAAGAAAATATTAAATACATAAGCAGTAACAATAATTTATATTATTACCTTCTTCCAGTCTTGCAACTATACAAAAGACGTAGTTAAGCTTTTAATAGTAAATATGTTTATTTATTTGTGGTTAATAAGGTGTAGCGACTGACTGCTGGTGTTTGATGTAACGTGACTTTGGAGAATATAAATGATATTTTGTTATTGAAATGACTGAAAATTCAAATGTGAGATATTTTTTAATAAAAAAATACCTTTTTATAATAACTATCGTGAGACATACTAAATTAATTAAAATCGCGGGTTACTCACGTGAATACGCTGAGAAAAGCTCTACTAGTTTCGAACCACAGAGGGGTTCTTCCTCATGAGCAGATTTAAGATCAGAGCTTTAACATCCTCCAACGCGCCGCCGAAGTTGGAAGCAAACGCTCGTGGTGTCCGGCAGAGGGCGCGTTGGGCTCGCAGGGCAAGTAGCTCCTTCTTAGCTAGCCCATCCTTACAATGAACTCAATTATAACAGTATTAACTCCAGAGGCTTTGTCTATTAAAAAATATACTTTAAAACTGTATTTCTAGAGGCTACATTCTTCAAAATCACGTTCCATCGACCCGTAATAATACTGTACTTAATAAAACCCTGTATTTTATTAAATTTTCATAGCGTTATAGTTGACTTTTGTGCTCAAGATTCCTAAAACATGGGACTCATAAAAAACTGGCGAATATTCTATGTTACTTGCTCTTGAATCCAACTCCATGACATTGACATTTTATAACTCCTGAATTGCAACACTAGCGCCCATTGCATCCGTATTGCGTGGATATTGAATGAACTAAACGGTATTGAGTTTGGCTTCATATTCCGTACTCTGAATGCTATGTTTTACAGCTTCAGGCTCTTAGCTCGTACACAAAACTGCGATGCGATGCGAATTCGCAACGCAGAAAATTACGACACGAATTGCTGCGATGCGATTTCGTGCGACAATGCGTCTCCCAGGGTAACCATTCCTTCGACGACCGTCAACCGTACTAAACGTATTTTAAATTGAAAACTAGGTCGTGATATGGATTGTAAAAAGTGTGCACTTCTGTTATTGCTTGCTCAGGAAAAAGAAACAAAGATTTTTGGAAAAACAAAGTTAAGATTTTGATGCGCGATGCGCAAGTTCTTGCGATGCGTAGAGAGAGCTCGCAAATTTTTGCAATGCGACGTCGCATCGCAGTTTTGTGTACGAGCCCTAAATTAAGGTTAAATTATATTGCATTGACATTGAATAATTATTGAAATTTTATTGCGATTAGCTTGAAATGGAGGCTAACTTTTTTTTGCTCACCAAATTGCGCAGATGTAGGAAAGAGTATTACGTCTAATCACTGAAGCTGTCAAATAGTGAATGTCCAATGGTGTGATGCTAGCTAATGGGATTGGCGAAGTACGAGAGGGTGACCCTCTAGCGCCATCTGTTGAGCGATAATACGGTAGGCACCATTGATATTGAGGTTGGTTTCAAGAGTAAGTACGCTGCTTAACAACGCGCGATGTTATGTTATGTGCTCAAATAGTGAATTATTGTGATAGATTCAATGCATTCCCTTGTTGTGTATTATGTATGTGTATATATAATAATAGTGTAGTGTTGTTTGTATATTGTATAGATCGACAGGGTACGCGGAGAGGTAACAGTTTGGTCTATTACAAATTATAAATGTTTCCTTACGACTAAAATTGAAATAATCGTTAAGTTAAAAAAACTGAATTAACGGACAACATTAATGATAATCGATCTCAATTAAAAATTGGTCGATTTTTTATTCCAGAGATTTTGAGTAAAGTTGAGTGTAAATTAATGACCAAGTGACTATAAATAGATGTATTTTTCATACAAAATGTGTCAGATAAGCTAACAGTAACATAACTGAACGCAATAGGACTTCAATTTTCGTTTGACACAATTTTTAAAATCAATCATCCCAGTTTGAGTAGTATCCCTCATATTTAAAATTGTCTTCCATGTTGAAATTCGTTTTTATAATAATTGAATTCAATATTTTTCTCGTCCTTTCTTTTATTCTAATTAAACCAAGTCTGTTACCTCAACGCGCCTAAGAGAATATTTAGATGTACGGAAAGCGATTTAGTAATAAGCCAATTAGTCGATTAGTAAGTTTTAATATGTTAACCAAAATGTAAACGAAATATGTAGCTGTTGTAATTTATTATCTGTTTTGTACTTCCCGCTCAATTTCGCGATTAGTGTACT